GGGCAGCCACTTTGTTAGGTGTGGGGTACCCCATGTCCATGTAGGATGGTTTTGGGGGGGGGGTGAAGGCCAAGTGCTGAGGTGGGCTCATACTTTTCTTCCTGATTTCCCACCCTTAAACTCACCCTCTGTACCCCCACCCTGGTTGTGCTGGGAGCACCCATGGGTGCTGAGCACTGCAGTGCTGCCACCAGGCCATGATGCAGCTCCGCTCGTCCTGTGCTGACCTGAGTGAGGAGGAGAAGGTGGTGGCCAAGCTGGACGTGGAGCTCTTCAACTGCCAGGCCAGCGCCGAGGGTCGCCGGACATACCCCTGCACCCCAGACACGGTAAGGCGTCGGGACAGGGCACCCCAAATCCTGTTTTCTCCAATTCTACCCCAAAGCCTGCAGTAATCCCATGCAATTCCCTCCCAAAATCTCAAACTTTGTAGCTGCAGAGCCCAAGTTGTACCCAGCCACCTCTGCTCGGCCTCTCACCTTCATTTTGGGGTAAAACCAGCCCTGTTTAGCCCACTTCCCCCATGGCAGATGGGAGTTTTCACTCCTGATCCCCTTCTGACCCCCAGCCTTGCTCAATTCCGAAGGCTTTTCCGAAGTCTCTTTTCCCCAGCACCATAGGATGGAGATTAAACAGTGGGGACTCGTTTTGGGATGCTAATGGGGTGCCCATGGGGACAACCGGCATCCACCTGGTACGCGGTGGTGGGCATCACCATGGGGTGTTGCTTTGTGGGGAGGCTGTGGGGCCTCCCCCCATCACCACCTCCCCAATGTTTGCTCCAGGAGGAGCCTCAGGAGCGGCCGAGACTGGAGACCCCCATCTACCACAGCCTGCAGCACCCGGCGCTGGATGAGACCCTCTTCTCCGGCAAGCAGCACTGGGTGGCCCAGCTCATGGAGGACATCACCCAGCAGATGGGTAGGAGCCACCAGCTGGGATGCTGCTACATTCTCGTATCCCACCTCGGGGACTGACCCAACCTCTTGTGCCTCCCTACAGGGAATGTGAGCGGCCGTGGAGCCCCGGGGCTCCTGGAAGGGTGCCGGGTTGTCCTGTCCGACCTCCACCACGCGCAGGAAAGAGCTCAGGATGTCTATTCCCAACTAGGTGGGAACGTGGCACACCCCATTCCCAGCTCTTTTTGCACCAGGACGCCCCTGTGTGCGGCTTCTCTGGCTTATCCAAATGCCGTGTCCATCTCCACGTGCAGAGAGCGACCTGGCCCTTCTCCTGGCCCAGCAGCACCGGATGGAGGAGGTGATGGAGAAGCTGCGGCAGGTCAACCAGAGCCTGGGGCTGATGCTGGCGGCTATGGAGGGAGCCCAGAGCCAGGTGGAGAACCATCTGCAGCACCTCCGTGCCATCCTTGACTCAGCTGGTGAGCCGGGGATGGGTGCTGGAGGGTGGGTTAGTGCTGGTGGGTGCCAACGCCAGGCTCTTGCTCCTTGTCCCACAGGTCGGAGCCCAAGTGCCATCTCCACCTGCATCTTATACGGCTCCTACATTCTGCTACTGGTCATGCTACTGGTGCCCACGCCACCCCGTACCATCATCCTCCTCCTCTTTCTTGCCTCCAGTGTCCTCAGCGAGCTCCTCAGCATCCCGGCGCTCTCTGCTCTCCTGGCCCTTGCCGTGGCAGGTGGGGGCAGGTTTGGGGGGGCCTGGTTGGGGGAGCACCACCCTGGGGGGGCCA